TCTCACCCCAGCATTGTGGTGAGGTCTATACAATTCAAACAGACTCTCTCTCATTGTATTTTACTAATACTATATTTAGTAAAATCATTTGTTCCACCTCAGATCAGTGCTGTTGTTTTCAAGTATTTTGGGGTCCCCTGCTTCCCCTTTCCCAGAGGCGCGGATCCGCAGATCCCTCCGCCCTGCTGGTCACGGAACTGGGCCGGACCAGCCCATAAACCGTTGACAGGGTGTAACTTGGAATGCCTGAATTAAATATAATGAAAATACACACTGTAAAATGAACAGATGCTGTTTTGTTAGGATACAGTCAAAGCAATTACAAAACCAAGAAAACTCTCATTTTCTGTAAGAATGAGCCAAGAGATTTTTTTTTTTTTTTTTTTTGTCTCTTTATTTAACTTCAAAAAAATTCCATCAGTGATTCTTCTCTTCAGAAATCAGTAAGCTGGCTGCAAAGGTATGCATTTTGGTCTTGTACTACCATAATAAACTCCTATCACACTGTATCTGTTACTCACACTGGAATCTTTTTCTCTTGTCCTGCTTTCAAAGGAAACTTTGAGATGGCTATCAATAAATAACAAGATAAATTAAATAAACAGCCTATTATCTATTTTTCTTTTCATTGGTTGGTGAAAAATTTGCACAAACTACACAGAACGAGGCCAGTAGAAAAAAAAATACCACTTTCATTGTTCCACTGAGACAGATAACACACTGCTAAATATAGATTTTACAAAACTGCTGGCTTCTAAGTTCATAGGATTCATTTCCACTACTTCTCAGTGGCTCTTTCTCATCTGCCATGTCACTGTCTTTCATTTGTGCAAAATAAGCAGGAGAAGCTTTGCACTCTTGATGCCTGTCAAGAGATTTCAGGTGGATCAACATATGAAGAGTATAGGCGAGAACCAGCAGCAGAATCAGCGACATAACCAACCCCATAAGAATTGCTGGAGAGAAAAAGGATGCACAATCTTTGGCATAGGCAAAATGTCCTTCTTGAATGTTAAAACCTTGAATCTACAAAGAGAACAAAAGGGCTCATATTAAGTAAAATCTTTGCAAACAATTTTGTGAAGTTGCTCTGGTGCCACTGAAAGTTTTTGAGTTAGTATCATCATCTTAAAAAATTAAATCTCGCAGTGATATCTGGAGTTCACAGTGAGCTCATCCAGGTCAGTCTTCTGGAAACCAAAAGTTATTCTGATCTGCATCACTCTGTTGCCCAAAGGATTTGCAGTTCATATTTGAAACAAAATCTTCCACGATCACTCTCAATACTTTGGTCACATTTAATTGTAAGCGTGGTACAGTGCATTTCCAGTAACATTTGCTAAGAATTTCTAGACTCTCTGTTTCAAACTGCACAAATTTCAATGCACAAAACATGCATAATTGCCTACCCTAGTATTAGATTTTCATCGCCAGATTCAAGCAGCAGTACTGGTAACGAATCAGCCCAACTACAAGAAGGTGCATTCACCAATGGCCAGGACAAGTTTTACTTGTGGCTTCAGTTCTAGTGTGAAGTTCACCACACTGGCATTCACAGAGTTGACTGCTTCACTAAGATGGGTCCTTGGACATTTACCAAATGGGGACTAAAAGGGCAAAGAAGTCCCGTGTCACTGCATTTACTTCTTATACTGTTCTGCTTTACCCTTGCAAAAAAAAAAAAAGTACTGATGATGAGGCGGAGTAGAAGTACTCAGTGCAATCAGGGCTATTCGGCAATTTGGCTGGGATTCATCCCCTAAAACTTAGGTATCTAAAAGCAAAATATCCAAGCCGAGACATTTTAGAATCAACTATTGCCAAATTCAGAAATAATAGGCACTCTCAGCTGATGATTAATCTCATCCTATAATAAGGACTCAGGATGAGTAAGAAGAGTTATCCACTGGCTTTAGAGGCAGACTGGGGTGACTGTAACCAGAGCACAACGTTAACATTTCTTGTCTTCAAAAATTGAGTTAGATGGATCCCAACCTTGATGATTGGTTTTAAGAGTCCAGCTCAGAGACATCTAATATCAACAGTTAATTTTACTTATTAAGAGGAAACCCAAGCAAGACACTACAGAAAAGCTACATAGCCCTACATTTCCTTGACAGGAGAATGACTACAGTAATTTAAATCTCCATTTGCATTTAATTTGTTTAAAGTTCTGTGGAGGTTAGACAAATTGTACACAGGAGATCATAATACTTTCTTGGAACTTAAGTACAGAATTTCCTATCAGTCTACCTTTGGAATCCATTTGGCCTAATTCAACAGCATTACCTGGAAATCAATGAAAGTAACTTCCCAGAGCTTTGAAACATCATTTGCAGAGCTCGGTATCAGGAGGGCATCATATCTCTGCAAGCTGCTCACGTGTTCACAGTGGAAGGAGTAACTTGCTGGTGCATATATTCTTGTTGCATTAAATGTTGCTTGTACAGAGTGGTTGTAAAGAAGCTGCAGTCTCTGTAAGCTGAACCAATTCTGAACAGACAGCTGGTAATAGCTGGTTGTTAGTAACAATCTGAAAATATTTTATGGGAAAAAAGAAGAATACAACAGCAAGTCTTAGAGTTGGAACTATTAGGTCCACATCTGATAATCTCAGAAGACCAACCAATATTATCAATTTCCTCCATTTATATTACTGCAAGCTCTCATAAGTCTGGAAAATAATTTGTGGTTCTTCAGTACTGTAGCTAAATGATTCTGTTGCTCTTCCCCACAGTGAGGAGAGTGGCAAGAGATTTTCCAAAAAAAAAAAAAAAAAAAAAAAAAAAAGAAATCTGTATCCAACGTTGGTATTCACTTCCAGCAACAACAGAGGAAGTCTGTCAAACCTTGGTCTGCTGATACATACGCTCATATGCCTGTAAGGCACTTCCTGAAGACTCCAGTGATCACTTTGAGATGTGATGCAATTCACAAGAAAACAGTATAGATTTTATAGACATTAATGATAACACTTCATATGTGAAATGTGTTTCTCATTCCAAATGTACTAAATTGTTGGAATGGAAAAGGCAAACTTTTCTTTTGTTAGTGCTGTGTACTGTTGTTTCTTACAGTTCCTCAGGCTTCACAGAGAACACTACAGGTTCGTTACATACTCTGAGATGCTTACCTATTTTAACTTTAGTCATGACACAGTAAATTAATAAGAGTGCATAGATGTGGAAGAAAAAAGGCTAAATCAATATGATCCAGTATACACTCAATTTATGCATGGAGTCTTGGTAAAATACCACCACATACAAAAATTATTTACCAGGAAATGCTGTTTTCTTTGGTCACCAAGAAGCAAACATGAAGTAGGTCACAGTCTGATGCCTGTGCAGCCTACACAGTTTTTTTCAACAAAATTTGCAAACAAAAAGTTAGCTAATTAGCAGAGTCTAGGAAATATCTGAGACTACTCAAATGAGATGACATGAACTTTTCTCATGCATAGAGAATTCAACATAGAAGAAAAAAATGCTGTAAGAAAATACAATAGGCAAATAATACAGTTGAAAATGACAGCTCTGTTAAATGCAAATGTCTTGATTATATCACAGTATCACAAAATGTTTGGGTTGGAAAGAAGATAATTGAAGATAATCTAGTTCTGAGCCCCCTGCCAAGGACAGGGACACCTGCCACTAGCTCACCATATCGGCAGTTCTATTACATCATTTTTTTCATCTCTTCCCCCAAAAAAATCACACAAATAATTGCATACCAAAGATACTATTTGTATCTTTGATTGTGTAATATTATTCTTTATCATATTACTTACCTAATAACAAGACCCTTTAGATTTCCAATATCACCAAACTTCAGAGAAAGCCTAAGTCAAAAAGTAAGTAATGTCAGGCTAGACAAAAACTTCAAAAGTCTTAAGAGAAAAAACAGCATAGAAAATTAAGCACAGTTACAGACAGTCTTTTACTCAGTATACCTTTAAAATCTGTAGAAAAAAACCTGCAATTATTAGATCTCCCTCCACTGAAATCCTGTAGCTCATATGTTAATTTGAATGAGGCCTAGACTTTCCACAAAGAACACAAGATATTTAAATCCCGCTGTTTCATCCTCAGTTGATAATTAGGTGCATTTGATCTATGCTCACCTTTTCAAGTCAAAAAGGCTGATTTGTAATACATGTATTGGTCAGGTGTAACCTATACATGTCATTAAAAAGAGCTACATGTAAACAGGCATGTAATCCTCATCTTTTTAGGTTCTAGAGTATAATAAAAGCAGATAGTATGGAAGTTCGAATTTTACACATATGCATCTGTACAGCAGTATAAATACACTGGCTGTGAGGTAGCTCTACAAAACCTCTGTGCAGTCATCACAGGCAACTAAAGTGAAAGGCCCTAGCACGTACAAAACTAATCAGAAACATACTGCAAACTATTTTATACTTTTTGTGAGCTTCTTCAGATGCTGAAAATTGCAGAACTTGTCAGCACCGAATGAGTATTCTGGATATTTCTTCCACAGCGAATATGTATTAAATTATTGTACAAGATGATACAAGCCAGTTGAATCATTGAGTAAACTTACATAACAGCTCAATAACAAAAAGTGCATGTCTTCACAGGGACATACATATGTAGGTAGGTCTATACATTACCTGCAATCACTGCATTGTATTCACCCAGGTGCGCAATTGAAACACAGCTTGCAATTTGATTATAATATGTGTGGTGGGCAAAAGAGGCGGAGCCAGCTGCACTGAACCCACCCTTCTGCAGCACTCCGTTGTTACCCACACAGTCCATGCTTGAACTACACACAATCGACTCATAAAAATTACCACTACAAATCATGTAACAACATTAAAAGGTTCTGATCACGTGGAGCCACATTACTAGCCATCGAGGGCCACAAGTGGGTTGCCTTCTCCCCCATAACTACACCTTTCCTTGTTTTACTACAAAGGCATATCATAGTCCAAGGATAGACACATCACAAAAGAAGATTAGACACTGGCAAATAAGACATGAAATTTAGTTGCTTGATCCAGGAATTGGTGCATAAAAACCAAACCAACAAACCACTGGCTAGTTTATTATATTAAATTTACATAGTAAATGCATATGCGTTTGTAGCCAGATCCTGGCTCCAGCTACTTTGCATTGATCAGGCAGTATAAAGCTATTATGAAGCTAATCCAAAACCACAGCACAGGATTGTCTTAGCAAAGAAGGCGTCAGACGAGAGAAGTTTAAGGGGCTTCTCTGGGTGAGAAAAACAGGACAATTCATCATGTGAGCACTCAGACAGATAATCCACTAAGTTGGTAAGCCACTATCCATCATATCTGAGAAGCCATGGTAGTCTGGTGAAATTCCCAGTGACTGGAAAAGGGGAAACGTAGCCCTAATTTTTAAAAAGAGAAAAAAGGAAGACCCAGGAAATAGAGGCCAATCACTCTCCCCTCTGTGCCTGGCAAGACCATGGAGCAGATCCTCCAAGAAACCACATTAAGGTACATGGAAAACAAAGAAATGTTGGTTGCCACCAACCACGGGTTCACTAAGGGCAAACTGCGACCTCATACGAGTGTTTACAGCATTGCTGGATGAGGGAAGAACAACTGACATCTTCTACCTACAAAGCATTTGACATTGTACCACATGACATCTTTGTCTCTAAATGAAAGCAACATAGAGTTGACAAATGAGCCACTCAGTGGAATTGGCTAGCTGGTCGCACTCAAGGATTTGAAGTCAGTGGCTCCATGTCCAGGTAGTGATAAAGGGTGCTCCTCAGAGGTCCATATTGAGTTTGGTACTATTAAACATCTTTGCTGGTGACACAGACAGTGAGACTGAGTGCACTCCCAGCAAGTGTGCAGATGACACCAATTGTAGCATCATAGGCTATCCCAAGTTGAAAGGGATCCATAAAGATCAACAAGTCCAACTCCTGGCACCACAGAAAGATCAGACTGTATGACTGAGAGCATTGTCCAGACGCTTCTTAAACTCCAGCAGCTCGGTGCCATGACCACTGCCCTGGGAGTTCATTCCAATGCAGTCAACTCACTGCATCACATCAGAGGGACAGGATGCCATCAAGAGGGACTTGGACAGGCTTGAGGGACCTGGATGCCTATGTGAACCTCCTGGAATTCAACAAGGGTAAGTGCAGAGTTCTGCAGCTGGGTCAGGACAATCTCAATTATGAATACAGGTCAGAAGATGAGTGGCTTAGGAGCCACTTGAGAGTACTCCCTGCAGTACTTAGGAGTACTGGTGAATGAAAAAGTGAACAGGAACGAGTAATGTGCACTTGCAGCAAAAAACATCAACTGTGTCCTGAGCTGCACTAAAAACAAAAGGTGTCGCTAGCAGGTTGAGGGAGCTGATTGTCCCTGTCTACACCACTTTCAAGAGATCCTACCTTGAGCACCCTGTTCAGCCCTGGGGCTCCTAGCACAAAGAACACATGGATCTGTTGAAATGGGTCCTGAAGAGGCCACAAGGATGCTCAGAGGGTGGAACACCTCTCCAATAAAAAAAGGCTGTGTAAACATCTCTAGGATATTAAAAAAATGCATACCTTCCTAGTATGGCTATGGAATGGGAGGATTTGGGATCCAGTTAGGTTAACTGGTAGGAGCGAGGGAATGAACTGTTCATACTAGTAATTCATGCCAGAATAGTATGCAAACCTGTAGTTATTTCACCTTTAAGAATCAGCAATTCGTAAATCACATTCTGCAACAAGGGGCTACTTAAGTCTCTCTAAATACATAAGTGCATCTTTATGCTGTAAACAATAATGGCACATATCCTTTGTGGAAGTAAGTAGTCCACCACCCAAAGTCACATACAGCCAGCCTCTAAATCCTGACGTTTCGCATAGGGCCCATTATTCATTTTCCCAAAAAGCTACTGAAAATAGCTGGATACTGAAGAGATCAATAGCTCCAATCTCACAGATACTAATGGGAAACTGGCTGGCCACAAGGACTGACATTAGTGAAGATGAAGACAGACATGTACGTCTATATGCTGTATGAAGCATTTATCTGAAAGCATCTAATGCACACTGCTTTGCTGGCTGCAATGCACCTTGATGTACTGGGGCTCTATACTACATATTACGAGGTTTGTTTCTTCAACATTTACTTACTAGACTTGTTATCTGGTACTATTTCACTGAGATCTTACATTGCATTGTCTTCACTGCAGTTTGAATCTCCAACATCCACTGTTGCATGGACACCAAATGTCTTCTCTGTCAAATCCAGCTGTGTGTGGTTTTCAAACTTAATCATGATCCTCTTGGCCCAGAAGAGAATGCAAGGGATGCCATTAACTGTGACATTGAGAGGGCTGTAGTGGCTGGGGGTGAATGGCCTCCAGGATGGCCTTTCCAGCTGCTCCTTTCTGCTCAAGTTGTAGCTGACAACCTGAAGGATCATAAGATAAATATCAAAAGGAGGGTACTGCAAGAGACATTCTCCATCCTACAATAAGGTAACCACTTGGAAAGCATTGCTAGAGCCAGGTCTTAGCTGCAGCAGTACTGAGGTAGGAATGCACAGACTTACCTGTCTCACCCCTCCCAACACTGGGCAATGTACCATACAGACCTTTAGCTCCAACACAACTGGCAAGATAGCTAATATAAGCTAAAGTTGTTTTTCTAGTCACTCTACAGAAGTATTATTAGAGTAACTGACATTTTTTTATCCCACCTCAGCCCAATACAAAAAGATGAAGCAATGCTAGAATCACAAGCTGCTCACCCCTGCAAAAGGCTCTCTAGGACTCAGCTGCGGCAAAGCATACAGCCTACCATACCAAAAACAATTTAGGCAGCTCGAAAGGTGGGAAAAAAAAAAAATCAACTTTAAATTGACCTTAGACAGTTGGGCCCGTATCATGGCTCAGTGTGGAACTCTGCTTTTACAGAATCAGCAGTTCGTAACATTAAACGCTGGGAACTGCAGCTTCCACCATGTTCTCAAAAGAGGTCAGAGAAAAAATCCTATCCCCTCTGCGCCAAAGAAAGACAATTTGACTGTGAGATTATATAAAGTGAGACAGTAAGTTAGGGTTCAGAAAGGATTTCAAAATTTGTCATTTTCGTATTTTAAGATTTACAGATTTTAGCTCTTTTTCAACTATGCATGCATCCCATCTAAACATAATAATGCATGTAATGTCTTCATGGCTGTTTCACATTCAGCAAATTCAAAGCATGAACAAAAACAAAGCAGGTATTCTTTCTATGTTTCAGTCACAAACAGCACCTTATCAGGCTCCAGAAGGGACACGGTTAAGCCCCAAAGCTTTGTCTTGGCTTAAAGAGATGGGTTTTTTTGCTGTTAAGATTAGCAAATCACATCTCCCAGCTCAGACCCTGAAAGACCCTTTTGATACTTGACCTCACATATAGCACAAGGCTGCTTTAGGAATTAAAATTAGTAAGTAGTCACAGCAACAAAGCAGAAAGCAAGGTAAGATCAGCAAGAAACACTGACTATGAATGTTATTTGGATAAGTAATAAGGCTGTATTCTCAGAATTACCAATAAAATAAATTTTATAAACAACGTATTTACATTAGAATGCATCACCTGCATGGTTTTTGATAGTGGAGCCTTTTCCTCTTCATTTCTGACAAGACCCACAGAGTAGACTCAGAAAATACTGATGGAATTTAAACAATCAGTTTTGCTTCAGATATTTTTTTTGTACCAAGCAAAATACTGGGCTCTGCAGTCAAATGCAATTGTACAGAAGAGGAGGAGTACAATTTGGTTCTTCTAGAACAACCCTGTGCCTGAGCCCAGTGACAGCACCAGCAATGAAGCCTTACCTCACTACTTAGAAAAGCAGAGACACTGAAACGCATGTTGGAAATCAGTAGCACACCATAATGACTCAGAATTTTGTTGGCTATTTCCTGTAAATAATAGACTATTTTATTCAATAATTGAAGTTAAAAGATCTCAGCATGTTTCTGAAGGAAAAAAAAAAAAAAAAAAAAAAAAAAAAAAAGAAGACAAAGCTTTTCCAATACAGTTCCTGCAAGCATTACCTGTGCAATTGCCACTTGATTTACATTCAATTTTGGCTTCACACCACCATCATAGCGTCGACCTGCAGATAGAAATTGTGTTATGAGCCCACACAGAACATATCCACTCATTGTACAACCATAATCTTGCACATTCTGGCACAAGTAGCCTTGAACAAAATCTCTTATTTTGTTTTGGCAAATATGTGTCTCGATGCAAATATCACCTTCAACATCCATCTTATGTTTTAGTTTACCTTGCTCATAAAATAAAGTCTCCTTTTCAGTGAATATTTTGCCATCCTAGCTGGGAAGAACTCCAGTGGCCAAAAATGACAGGATTTAGCCTATCCATGTATACATGTGTATACATCTCACACTTAATAAAACCTTACTTTTTCTTTATGCAACAAGCTATTTTCAAAGTGTGTGTGTTGAATTACAAGGCAAGAGCCTGTGTAGCAGTTTCTTTCCCTGCAGGGGACAGAGATGGGAACCTGTGACAAACAGATGGCCTGTCTATCTTCACTGTCAGGACAGTGAAGATTTGTAGGAGTGAACTCGCTTCACAGACCTTCTCACATCTTCACCCTTCAAACACTTAGCTCTGTTTTCATCTGGTTTTAAAAAAAAAAAAAAAAAAAAAAAAACAAAAAAAAAAAAAGAAAGAAAAAAAAAAAATGAAGACTTCTTTGTTCTATATTCTCACTATATTTCAAAGTCAATTAATACATGATTGTTTTAACCAGGCAAATCCCTTAAAGGATATCTGTTAAGGGTAGGTATGTTTTAACGGAACATTTGACAAAACAGTCAGCAATACCAGAAGGAGCAACTCCTGGGAATGAAGATTTTTTACAGCTGCACTGTCAAAGCCAGCATCCAGGCATTTAGCCCACTGAAAGCCTTACCAGTTCTTTGCAGAGAATCTTGATCTGAAACTACATGTGAACTAGAAGAGAAGAGAAAAATATTTACTTTACAGCATCTGAAGTCTCCAACAGGTTCACTAGGAAGAGCTCCTGCTGCTATGTTTCATTCAGTATAACATTTACAATAAAAAAATACTTGAAAAGATGCATGCAAAGACCAGAACAATGTAAGGACAATGAGCAAGAGCGATACCAACTTAAATGTCTTCATCTTAGCGGCAGAATGGTGTGAGACACAGCATCATAAACTCATGTAGAAGGAACAGAGCAGCCTTGAAATCCATTTCTATCATGTCTAAGCAGTTCTGGCAGCAAGGGAATTTGATCCTTCTGCACCTGGCTCACTCAAAACCCATGTAACTCCATGAGCCAGCAGAATGCCCAGGGGGCCAAGACCAATGGCATCCTGGCTTGTATCAGAACTAGTGCAGCCAGCAGGAGCAGGGAGGTGATTATCCCCCTGAACTCTGCTCTGCTGAGGCCGCACCTCAAGTACTGTGTTCAGTTTTGGGCCCCTCAGTACAAGAAAGTCATCAAGGCTCTGGAGTATGTCCAGAGAAGGGCAGTGAAGCTAGTGAGGGGTCCGGAGTACATGTTCTTGGGGAGCACTGAGGGAACTGGGTTTATTCAATCTGGAGAAAAGGATGCTTGGGGAAGCCCTTATTGCCCTCTACAACTCCTTGAGAGGAGGGTGTAGCAAGGTGGCGAGTGGCCTCTTCTCCCATGTAACAGTGATAGGACAAGAAGGAAAGGCTTCAAGTTGCACCAGGGTAGGTTCCAAGCTGGACATTAGGAAAAAATTTCTTCTCAGAAAGAGCGATGAGGTATTGGAACAGGCTGCCCAGGGAAATGGTGGAGTCACTGTCCCTGGAAGTGTTCAAAAGAAGAGGGCAGATGTGGCACTGAGGGACATGGGTGATGAGCATGTTGGAGGCGGGTTGATGGTTGGACTGGATAATCTTAGAAGTTTTTTCCAGCCTTAATGATTCTATTATTCTATCATCTCACACATAACATCTTGTTTACACTCATGGTTTAAAGGGCAAGAGGCTCCTTCCTGTGATCAGTGCCTCCCTAGCAAAAGCATTTTTTCATAGGCATACTCTGTGCTGTCAAGGATAGACCTGTTGTGCACCTCTGCAAACTCCTCAAACCCAGAAGGCAAAACAGAGAAAAGTGAAGGGAGTTCATATCCCAGCTTGTCACTTTGTCACGAAACACCAGGCCTGATGAGCAGCTGTGCTCCTGACCATACAGGACACTCAGTCCCTTTAGCAACCAAGGCAATAAAACAGAAGACAGTCTCCAGAGAAAATGTGACACAGTACAAAAAGACAGCTACGATCTGCAGCACAATGCAGTGATTCTAATCTGAGCTGAATGAGCCAAAAAGATCTTATAAGAACTTCAATATAGATAACATTGTTCAAAATCAGTTTGGCAGTTTTAATTAAACAAAGTGAGCCCAGCTCTTTCTCCAGTCAAGAGCTGTTAAATCCCACAGACTTCAAAAAGATGGCGCACTTTCAGCCATTGTCACCACGTTTCTGAGCCAGGTGTTAGTGCTAGGATAGTTTTTTTAAACCACTGCTTCACAAGAAAGGAGCAGAAGCAAAGTAGTTTTGCTGTATCTACCAAACCTAAACAATCCAGAGCATAATTCCAAAGCAAATTTGTTTACTGTAACTTCAATAGGATCCCACTGAGATGCATGTACTGGACCGTATACATCAACCGCCCTTAACCCAAGACTCACTCTGGCCCAACCTGCACCAGAAAGACATGGTTAGATCACACAGCAGACTTCAGCATCTCCAAGAGTCCAGTGCAAGGAACAAAAACTGGCAGTCTCAAGATATGACCATAATAGACTTAATTTTGTTGTCTTGGCCAGACAAAGCTCTCTCTAAGCTTCTTTACTGACTAGGAGCACAGGCTGTGTCATTTGGGCCCAACAGTAATTTCCTCTCTCCGTTTTTCAGGACAGATTGTGCCTTTGGGACAAAGAAGGCAGTAGATCATCTGGGCATTTTTTCTTAGTAAAAGCTATAAAAATGAGGCACACCAAAAAGAAATTGATGTGAATTATTTAGATACTAACTCTAGTTATATTTGGTTGTATCTCTATATATTTGTTAGTTATACACTTAGCTTCTTTGCATATGCTTAGTTAAAAGCTCAAGGCCCATTATTCCATTTGGAAACTGCCATGCTGAAACAAGTAGACTAAAACTAGGATGTGAGGAGACAAGTGAAATTGCATAATTCAGTTAATTTCATCACTGAGAGGTTTTTATGTTGGTCCAAAAGAGAAATGGTTGGTTATAGTATTACGAATGCTGATAAGAAAGTCATTACTTATCTCCCATCTGGGATAATGCTAATACCACGGCCACGCCAAGTGGTTCACCTAAAGGAATACTAATTGATAAGCCACATCAAGCCCTCAGGAGAACAAATAATGAATGAATATATGAGGCAGCATACTCGTGACAAAAAACTCCACAGGGTTATACCTAGAAGACAGAGACAAATGCCCTCCACTCAGACTGTGAGGCTGTATGGGAACTGCTGAGTCACGGCCTGAACCTCTGATTAATCACCTGAGGTGAGCCTTGAGTCAGCCAGAAGAGCACAGGTGAAGGCAATTCACCTGTGCTGCCGGAAGGGGTGGAGCCAGGCTGCACCCCTCCTGGACCTATTGAAGAGCTGGCTACCAGAGGGGAAGGATCTCTTCTGGAGATCCCCTCTTTTGGTATCTTCTGGTGAGCTCAACCCAAGGGTAAGCTCTTCCACTTATTCTCTTTTTGTGATCGTTGTCTGCTTTGCCTTACTCTCTTGATTATATTGCAATTATAACATCTTGATATTTATTGATTATACACAATTATATTGTGATTATAACATCTTGGTTATACAGAGGCTCAGGCTGAAGTCTGTGACAATGCAGTCTGACGCCTTCACTTCACATGCAATAAACCACAGCAGTGCATAGCCATGCTACTCCTGAAGGCCAAATTGCTTTTTCCAGCACAAAGATATTCAAATATAGATGAATGCGCACAGCTGATGAAATATTCATGCTTTCATGAGGAACGCAGTATAGAGCGCAAGCCAGGAATCACCGCTAAGTACCACAGTATGACAAATGCTCTCAGCCACATGGCAGTCTTCTCACACACTTGCAGGCAGAGGCAAAGGAGCGGAATGCCTCCACCTCGGTACTACTTTTTCTTACCCTGCTCACCAGCAATGCCAGCTGCCTACCGTGTGAAACCCCACTAAAGGGTTTGCTTCGCCTCACTACAGCCCAACTTCTGTGGCACAGACAGTGGTATATGGTAAGGATCGCCTCTGTTTCTCTGAACAGAAAAAATCTGACAGTTTTATCAGGTCCATCAACTGCATTTGACATTTATAACCCTGAGGTTTCGTGGAAGCATGTCATCTGTGACAGAAACAGGTGGCCTTCAATTTGACACATCCCAGTGTCAAATCAGAGGCCCTTTCAGCCAAGACCAATTGACAGGTGATTTCTGGCAGCCAGTTGCTTTTGCCCTCATAAGATGAAAGCATTGTAAGAAATAATGGGAGAAGTTAATGGTGAAATAAGAGCACATATTTGCTTGTATACACAAAACATTAACTACAGTAAGGGGAGAAAGGAAACTACCTCTAGCTAGCCCTAGAGCTTTCTTCTCCACTGCCTGCAAAACTGTCAATAGAGGGGCTGCGAATCAGTAAGAGCAAATCATTTTAGCAAACAAAAACATACACATGACTTATAAAAACGTAATTCTTTTTCAGCCATTCTGCCCTACAGTAATTTCAAATTCAGGAGCACACACAGTGTATGATGTGAGGACTAACATATTTCTTTACCAATTCAGAAATAACTAGCCCAGACATATGCAGGAAATACGCTGTATGTTGAACTTATCATTCTTAGTGTGTCAGGAGCCCACATGAAATTGGCTTAGCCCTAATACAAAGCACTGGGATGACTAATCACTATGTAAAACCCAATTAAATAAGATTATAAGAATAAAGAAGTGTAAATTCCCTCTTATCAGACAACCTTATCTATCTACATAAGATAACAAAGTCTAACTTTGTATCTAAAATGTTCATGTATATTCCACCCCTTGAAGACTCTCATGCAAGCAGCCTTTTGGCCACTGAAGTGATCAAAATAAATAACCTGGAATGCAAAAATAATCAAGTGTGGAGGCCATACTTTTCATGCTATCAGCTTACAATGCTTCAGGTGAAGCAATACAAAGGCTGTCGTTTACTTTTCATATCACTGCTCTCACAAACTGCATCAGGTGCCAAAATATACTCCGCTGCAGTATTTACTCCAATCATCACTCACTCGCGTTGTGCAGATGCAGACTACCTCACTGACTGCAAAACTGGTCTCAATCACTTATGAAGTATTTATTTGAAAAATAATGTGAACCTTCCCACTCACTAAATATGAAATTATAATGACCAAAGGAGAGGAATGCTTACTGAGCAGCTGGCAGCAACAGCCAGATTGTAGTCCCAGGGACGCTGTTCATATGTAGTATCTCCACAGTTATTAAATCATAATTGTGAGTCACATTCAAAGTAAAATCTAGTTCCTCCTAAGAAATGTACCTAACAAAAACTGTAATTAAATTTAGAATATATCTGCTGAAGTTATATCATTAAAAAAAAAAAAATGTACAAAGCCTGCATCTCTTTACAGATTTTAAATATTTAGTGTCAAATTTGGGTAGCTCTATTTGTGATGGAACATAGGGAGACAGATTTACATAATTATTTTATTTTGCACTGAGTATTGTTTGATCTGTACTTTAATAGAGTTAGGACCTACAAAAAATTATAGTTTTGAATACCAATAACAAAACTGAGCTCGCAGAAAGTCTGGTGAATTATAGGTATGATCTCACCTCCACTGAATGCAAAAGTTGAATTCCCATTCAATTCAACAGCAATAGAAGCACAACTACAGTTCCTAACTTTTATTAGAATAAAGCTCATGCAATGTTTCACTCTCTTCTCTCAAATTTTGATCTGATAGCAAGGAAGTGCAATTATTCTAAGAAGGCACCAACAAATCTGAAAACTGGCAGAGGAGAACAAGAAGTAAGCTATTTAAATGAAAACATGTTGTAGCACTTACTGGTAACTGACTACCAGCTCTCGTAATACAAGCTTAAGCAAATCACCACATGTCCTTCTTGCCAGCAGTGATCTTCATCAGCATATTTGATGTTTGCTACTAGTGACTTGGGGACATGATTCAACATACAGTTTAGGCTCTTTATACTTTTATAATGCTTGGCATTAGAAAGTCCTCTTAATTTGGGCTTCCTATTAATACTTCACTAAGTTAAAAAAATGGCACAATAAACAGCAATGAATCCAAATTCCTTCCAATTTCTTAACCGTAAGACTTTTAACAGTGCTGAATTCACGCTTCTGCACAAGTAGAATATTTTAGCATGCATGTTTCATGGAGTAGTTTTCACACCCTTCCTGCTATTCTATTTCTTAAATAAAAATAAAAATAAATAAATAAACAAATAAAATAAAAGAATAAAAGAATGAAGTAGAAAAAGGCCAGGGAAAGTCAAAGCAAGAGAGTTATGAGCAAGAGAATCATTAAATGTAAGACAGATGCTCAGAAAACATTCATTTTAAAACCATTTTTAGTGTTACACATAGAATTGTTTTAAAGTTGTTTTCTTACATGGCGTAGGCTTCAAAATTTCTACTAATTTCTACATTATCTACATATCTCTGAGAGGAGAACTGAAATCATGCCCTGACATTCCAAACCACAGCAAGATCTTCCACACTACACACACCACTAAAGGTCGCCCTTCAACACACGCACCCAACTTCACCAAGTCAGCAAGTGCTCCATCACTCACCTGCCATCCACTGTGGCTAGCGTCTGTTCCACAGCTGCTGCGAAGCCCAGACACGAGAACAGAACGAACAACTTAAGTGCGGCGTTTCTTTCCATGGAGAAGGGCCGATGCCTCCACACCGAGCACATTTGCTCCTCTGGGCTGGGGAGGGCTGCGCGGCCCCGCACGCCCGGCGGTGTGATGGACAGCAGATGCAGCCAACGAGAGCCGTCTCTGCTCTGGTACCCGGCGGGAGAAAGACTGTGTGTTCCTGTGTTCACACGTACACTGACTGCATGCACCGACAGCAGGCACGGCCCATGTCCCTGCGAAAGATTATTGGTTTGGGGGGAAAATGTACTGGGATGTGCGAGATGTCTTTCAGGAAGAAAAAAAAAAAAGAAAGGGGAAAAAAAAAAAAAAAGAGAAAGAAGGAGAAAAAAAGAAAGAAAAAAAAAGGTTGGTTCTACAAGCTCTGACTACACTAAAGCTGCACTGAGCAGCTTGTTATCTAAACTTTACAGAAGGGTAAAGTTATGTTTCCAAACAGCTCATAAATTTTCCTATCTGTATAATTTAATAAGGATTATTTGTATTCTAAAGAAGACTTACAATACCTTTACAATACTAGTGCTAGCTCCATTTTACTGATGGGGAATTAGACTTAGCTCAGAAGTCAAACATTCAGAGTTGGTTAACTTCAGTTTCACTCAATTTGTGTGCACCCGCCTCTCTGGTGAGATGTTTACATACCCACAGACAACGCAAAGCAGAACTAGCATTGCCAAATGTCCACAGAATGACAGCACCTCCGTTTGGGAACTGTCAGACTGAGGCACCAGGTTCCACACGTAGCACAGGCTGGATCAGGTTGTTCTGATGAGGACACCTGCTTCTACAAGACCTCTGTCCTCATGTGACTCATCAGAACGGACTTCCAAGTTGGACATTAGGAAAAATGTCCTCAGTGGAAGAACGGTTGGGCATTGGAACAGGCTGCCCAGGGTGGTGGTTGGAGTCACTGTTCCTGGAAGTCTTCAGGAAACATGGAGACATGGCGTGGATGGACACAGTTAGTGGGCACGGCGCGGATGGGCTGAAGTGTTGGACTCGATGATCTTAGTAGTCTTTTCCAACCTCAATAATTCTATGGTTCTCTGACTGCAGTTCTATCTGTGCGGGGTAAGAGGAGGGTAGGGCACAATGATTTCTCAAACCTACCGTCCATGCGCTTTCTTTACATAAACTCACTAACAGCAACTTGTAATCAAAGCATCTACGCAGGGAAAGCTGAAGTAAGGGTGCTTTCTGCTGCATCCACTGTCAAAACCATGCTCTTCCACCTGCTCACATTCGGTCTGGCCTCAGTCATGAGCACAGCTACGACTGGTGATCAAATTGAGAAAAAACCTCTGACAGAAATGCCTTTTTAGTATAGCTTTCAGCATCGGCAGCCCACTCTTGAAAGATCAGTCTTGAGAGGCAGTTCAGACCAGTGCTCAGCTCACATTTGCAGCCATGTCCACTTAAATAACCAGGCAGGAGATAGCCACAACCACTTGCAGCCAACAGCTGCCTTTATGCATCTGTGTATGAATGTTCATACACCATACCCAACCAATACCCAATCTACACCCAACCGTAAGGCACGTTAATGCCTTGTGTGGCAGCTAATGTAAGCTACCCACTGATGTGATCACAGAATAAGACCTACTTCACTGATTAAGAGCTCCTGTCTATTGCATTCCAGATACAAGATTAAGATAGGGGCTTTAGCACTGCAACTATTCAAAAGGATTTGCCATCTTAATTTCTCTTTCAGGGATACAGAGACTACTCACTAATCTTAAAAATCTCTCAACAGCTTGTCCAGAGCCATGCTGCTTCTATCCAATTTAAGGTGGAATCTAGATACTTATGAGAATCCTCACATGAAAAATGAGGTGAGAGCAGTGAAAAATAATGAACAAGGGACAATAAGCTCAACATTTTCCATGAAAAACCAGAAATTTCTGATGCCAAATGCAGAATAAATACACCAGTAAAGAGAAGTGGCTGCGAACTTTATGAAATCATGAAAGGAGGCAGAAGTGTCACACACATTTCTAAAAATTAGTAAGCCACAAAAAATAAAGGATGTTAAATTCTCTAGTATCCCTGAACATAGTTCCTTTTAAACAAGTTTTTGAGTTTTTTAGGTTTTTTTTTTTTTTGCTTGTTTGTTTTGTTTTTAAATAAAAATGCAGTCTTCCTATTTGTACCTTGGGATTTCACACATGTGGGTATTTTGTACATGTTACAGAATCACAGAATCACCCGGGTTGGAAGGGACCTCAAGGATCATGTAGTTCCAACCCCCCTGCCTAGCAGGGCCACCAAACATACACATTCAGATCAGGTTGCCCAGGACCCCGTCCAACCTGGCCTTGAACACGTCCAAGGACGGGGCATCCACAACCTCCCTGGGCAGCCCGTTCGAGGGCCTAACCACTCTCCTAGTAAAGAACTTCCCCCTAACATCCAACCTAAATCTTCCCTCCTTCAACTTGGATCCATTTCCCCTAGTCCTGCTGTTGTCAGCCCTTTTGAAGAGTTTACTCCCCTCCTGGGTGTAGGTTCCCTTCAGGTATTGATAGGCTGCAATGAGGTCACCCCGCAGCCTTCTCTTCTCCAGGCTGAACAAGCCCAGCTCCCTCAGCCTGTCCTCATAGGGGAGGTGCTCCAGCCCCCTGATCATCTTAGTCGCCCTCCTCTGGACCCTTTCCAAAATCTCAATGTCTTTCTTGTACTGAGGGCTCCACACCTGGACACAGTACTCCAGGTGGGGCCTCACAAGAGCCGAGTAGAGAGGGACAATCACCTCCCTGTCCCTGCTGGCCACCCCTCTCCTGATGGAGCCCAGGACCTCTCCTGATGGAGCCCATGTTCATTTTTCACTGGTACAGGAGCAAATGCTAAGAAAGAAAAATGCTGAAATACAAATACTTGCTGCACAGATTAACAAACTGTGTGTCCTCTGAGGTGAGAAAGGGAGATAAAAGGTATCGACAAGACTTGGCAGACCACAGCTAAACTAAATCTCTATAGGCTGAATTCAATGAAAAGTCCATTCTCTGTCAACAGAATGTATATTTAATTGTTCTTCTGCCAGCATATTTCTGCGGGGCTTCCAATCTTACAGAGAAAATGCTTTTTCAGTCCATGTTTCACAGAGAGAGGAGAAAAGTACATATGAGTGTGCTCAGACATAAGGTTCTTTTCAGACAACTAATAGAACACATAATGCCAAACTGCTAACACAGTTAAACCAATATGAAAATATTCTGACTTTCTCACTACATACTACTAGCACATGCTTATAGGAATTCACTAACTAGCAGTCATCACTTGACAAACTGAGAGAAGGAATGAAGAAAAGTCTTTCCTTACCTCTTGGCATTTGCTGATAATATAAAGCATTCTATGCCATTCTTAAAAAGGTTCCTTTTGGTTGAACTTCAAGAATAAACAGACTAAACTGAAAGCAAAGAAGCCATCCTATGCATACACTTTGTTCCGGTGAAGAATTATGACAAACATCCAACTCTGCAACAAAATTTCTATGAAGCCTGTAAAGGAAACTTTTTGAATGGAGCCTCTATGCAGGAGTCTTGATTAGATGAGCTCTTGTGATTTGGTTGACAAGCTACTGTGTATATTTGCATGTTTTATGTTGAAATCACACAGACAAGCAAAGCTTAATCAAATGTACCTTAATCTGCAACTACATACATACTCAGTGGACAAAGGGTGAACAAAGGATCACATGCAAAACCCAAATTCTGTTTTATGGAACACACAAGGTTGCATTCAGTTCCATAAATGCATCCAACAAACTTCCTAGGGGAATAACAATAACAGTTTTGTCTGCATCTCGCAAGAAGGACTATGGTGGGCTGACTGGCTACTATTTCAAATAAGAAAAATAAAATACTGTTTTATTGTCATGATTTCTCCATCTGACAATAAGATACTGCTTAGGATTACTCTTCAAGCAAAACTTCTCCTTGGGATGAAGGAGAGCTAAGCTGCTATCACTCATTTATTTCTTAGCAACGTGGTATTTCAAACACCTCTGCTGCAAAATGAATAGCAGTCAGAGGGAAGACACAGATCTCATTGTGCCTCTTTTTGGATCTGCTCTTACTGCTCTTATTGTTTGGGATTTATCTTGCAGAAAAGGTAGTTAAGAAAGCAGTTGGCAATTCAGAGAAGGATTCAGAGTTTCATGTGGGTTGTGAAGCAAAAAAATCAAAGACCGATAGGTAAGCCAATCAGCATTCCTGGCCTTCCACACACCCCCAAGTGTGTCACCACAGTTCAGCAAGCCTTCTGTCAAAGAAGATGATTACATAAATGTTGATGGAGGCCTAGAGATGACAGCTGTTCTGCCTCATGCTGCAGTGATTATGTACGCGGTGAGTTTGCATGCAACGAACGAGAGTGCACACATAATTTTAAACATGGATAATTTATCTCTTTGGAGGGCATCTCCTCAGGCAGACAATGGCACAATTTATTTTCAACACAGTTTACCTTCAGATGACATATCAGGTCACTGTGATCAGAACAGCTTTTTAAAGTAACACGCCTAACAAAATAATGAAGTATGACATATAAGCAACTGTACAAACACTTCAGAAACCATTAGAATTTTTGTTGACTAAGATAAGGCGTTCCTCTGGTTCACAAACAGCTACAATGGATTGATTCCTGAAATACAACAAAAGTATGGGCAAAAAAATTAGCTTTATCTAGAGTTTATCCCAGTTTCAGCAAAATCTCCTCTTGGCAACTAATTTGCCTATGTGCTTTTCAACCATCTACACCACACAGCGATTACAGATTAGGTTAGATCTTACAAGAAAACTCTCCACAGTGAGAGTGCTGAGGCCCTCGCACAGCTGCCATGGGGCTATGGCACCCCACCCCTAAAGGCCTCAGGTTGGATGGGGCCCTGGGCAGCCTCATTTGGGGGGAGGGCAACGTGCCCACAACAAAGAGTTGGAACTGGGTGGGCTCTAACATGTCTTCCAATCCAAGTCACTCTATGATCCTATGAGTATATGGGGGAGGGGGAGGGGGGGAAAGAAAAAAAAGGAAAAAATAGAGCAGTCTGTGCCACAGCACTGATCTACCACGGCGAAGGGAGGTCCCCACACCCTAGCGCATGGAGCAAGCGGAGCTGAGCTGCAAGCACGCCGCGGAGCACAAAGGCGCCAGGCACACGGGGGCCTCCCCCCGCCTATTCACAGCGGCAAAATGGCGGCGCCCACCCGAGAGCCGGCGAGCTCACAGCGCCCCCTTGGGTCCGGGCGGTCGCCAACTCCTCGGGAAGAGGCGGCGCAGCTCTGCGTCCCC